GACACAGTAATGTGAAATAAGTTTTTTCTTTGTAAAAAGAAATCTGTGTGTGTGTATGCTTTATATAATTTAAAAGAAAACAGTTAAATAGTTTGATTTTTTTCTGTTTTTTTAGAATATTCTGTTTTAGAATCTAGACAGAAAATTTGACATTGTCCAAGACATCTCTGGTCAGAAAATGTCATTTCAGAGGTTTTTACTTTTAGTTTGTGTTGATTATGTTTATTGACATTTACCTAAATCAGAAATTAAGACTGAGAAATTTCAGAAACAGAAGCATATTATCAGTCAGCTGTCAGGGTAGTGATAGCACCACGTTATCATACAGCTTCTAGAAGACTACCTTAGGCTCATGAGGATGTGAAAGGGGAAAAGGCAAAATATGAGGAGGGACAGCATGTAATATCTTAGTATAATAATGAAAGAGATTTAAATAGACTCCCTAATGAAGCTTGGAGAAAGAGTCCCTAGTCCATACTTTGACAGCAGCTCCCTTACATTGTTACGAATATTTGAAGAGCTGTAATCCATGGATGAAAGCTGCGTAGAAGAGAGGCTAAAAGTAAGAAGACAGGAGCTTGTTTCAGAATGTAATTTCATGTAAAATGTAGGGCTGTGGAAACCATTTCCTTCTTGTATAGTGTTACAGCTCATGGGAGAAAAGAGTGAACCACAACGTGAAGACTTGACCATTTCTATCACTATACTTTTTGTGAAAAACAAAATTCAAATGTTTGTTACTATTTTTTATTTCCTGGTAACTTTCTGGCATGTGCTATAAAGCATACCACACTTAGTATTGCAGACTTGTAAAGGCACCCACACTTTGGACCCGAACAGACCTATGTTCCGATTTCAGTTCAGTTTGCTTTGTTAGGCTTTGTACCTTGGGCAAGTTACTAATCTGTTTTCTCACCCTTAAAATGGAGATTGTGTTTACTTTATAAGTTTGTTATGAGAGTCACATATTTATGTTGAGTTCTTGATACAGTGCACCATTATTTGTGTCCAAACTTCAATTTGCAAAAAAAGTCTGGCTAGCCCCTTTCTCTCGTGTGCATTTATTCAAAATGAAACACAATTTTTATTATAAAAGCAAACTTAAAATCATATCTTATAGTTACTACTGTTTGGAATCATCAATTATTTGTGCTTTTTTTCCTAGTCAAAGTAAACAAATATGGAGATACTTGGGATGAGTGAAAAGTTGCATCATTGGACCTACTGAAGGAGTTTCAATGTCCAGCTTCATCTAGGTGGTCATGAATATCTGCATGCTTTGAGCTCAGCAGCAGTCTGCATAAACACATTCAAAACTAGAACCTGGGTTCTTGTGGTTTGGCTTATTAAAATGATGTTTAAAAACACAGATTTTAATGTGAATGTTGTGTGAATATATTCACCTTGAGGAACTATATGAATGATGGTATCAAACCATGATCACATGCAGTTTGTGAAATTGTTTTAAGTTACAGAGTAAGGATTCTCTCTTTTAAAACAAGAGTCTGTAATGCTCTAGGGTCCGCATATATGAAAATAAGTGGTATTTGCATGTTGATTTGGGGTGGGTGGGGGGAGCAAGCATAATTTTAAGTGTTAAGCTTTACATCCAAAAAATTATTCAAAAGCCTCTCTCCAGTGTTTGCTGTATTCTCTTATTAATGTTTATGGTAAATAAAATATAAAGAAACATACATCTTCATCAATTTCATGGTTTCATTAATCTCTTTATAAGTAAATGATGTTTCATAGGGATAGGAAATAAAGTCCTCTATTTCTGAATAATAATAATACACTGAATGTGACTCATGCAAATTAATGAACATACGGTAAACAGCATAGCACCTTCAAGCAGTGGTCATGTTTGAAATATTTGCAGACTCCACTGGAATAAAAATTGGTATCCTTCATTGCTGACTTAATGTTTGTTTCCGGTCCAGGTGAACAGAACATGAAATTATGGTCTCATCTAAACTCCGCTTTCTCATATATTGCAGTCCTACCAGAAACATAATCAGCTATTGTAAGTCCCCAAACTCAGTGGCTTAAGAAAGTGGTCATTTATTATCTTCGTTGTCTGTGGGTCCAGAATTCAGGCAGGATCCAGCCAGGAGTCTGGGTGCGAAGCCACTGTCAGCAGGGGGCTGGGGCACTGCCCAGGCATCTCTTCCTTGGGGTTCAGGGCCTGGCCGTGTCCTGTGGGGAGGGAGGGGCTTCTCACCACATGGTGTGTTCGGGACAGACTGTGTGACCACTTGAAGCTCTAACGTGAACAGTCCAAGAATGTCTGAGGCCGCACTGCCTTTTATTTCTGGCTCGGCCGCAGCCCCGTGTGTAGCATCATCTCTTCACAAGACTTCCTGTCAAAGGGCAGGAAAGGAAGACTCCCGCTTTCAGTTTTAAAAGAACAGTGGGTATGGAAACCAATTTGACAATAAACTATTTGTTAAAAAAATAATAAATAAAAACATTTAAAAATTTAAAATATACAGAAAGAAAAAAATAAAAACTGGGATGGAAGGTGTTGCAACTCTTCACCCTTTGGCCACAGCAATCTTCATCCCTCTCATACAGACTACACTACTTTCCCAGGACCTCCAGTTCACAGCCATTGTAACAGCTGAGTCAGGGAGCGCATCTCACCAGGTCCAGTTGCCGAAGAAGCACTTGGGTGAGTCTTTGAGGTACCCTTTCTCAGTCTTCAGACCTGTGAACTGGAGAGAAGCCACCCACCCTGTTCATCCCAAATAGGTGTTTGGCATGACCTCACCACTCCCATTCAGAAGGGGGTAGTGAGAAGCATATGCCAGTCCCTTATCCATAGTGATTCGGACACGTCCAGTAGGCTCACTATGCGGGTTCTTTGTTAGGGTTTAGATGTACACGCACCCCAGCCCCTGGGGTTCGCCAGAGCTCTTAGTCCTGCCTTTCGCACGAACGTAGGTCATGTTGACAGAATAATTTTCTCAGCCTTCGCCCCATAGAAATCCAGCATCCCAAGGCCTCTATACTATTCTTGTCCAAACGTAACAATTTATTAAACCTGTGGAGTTCTGAAGTATCCATTTATAATCCGTTCCATTACACAAAAGCCATCCAGCTGGAGACCTTCCTTTTTCTACACTGGGCGGCACCCTGCAAGGCTGATGCACAATGGCCCTGAGATTCTTAGAAACCTTGCACAGGGTCTAGGAGATTATGCCTATGAGACTTCTAGAGGGCCATTTATGTGTCTGAAATGTCCAATGAAGCACTGTTGTTTTACGTGCTCTTGAACGGAAAACCTGGATTTGATCTTCACCTGGAAGCCATTTCTCAGCATGGGAAACATTTGTTGGCCTGAGAGACTCTTATGAGCCTTTATATTTCCTACAAATCACATTTGGAAAAGGAATATATGTAATTTTTTATGTTTTTAATGTTTGCTTATTTTGGAAAGAGCGTGAGCAGGGAGGGGCGAGAGAAGGACACCTGGAATCCAAAGCAGGCTCCAGGCTCCAAGCAGTCAGCACAGAGCCTGACATGGGGCATGAACTGTGAGATTATAAGCCAAAGTTGGATGCTTAACTGACTGAGCCACCCAGGTGCCCCTGGAATAAATTGTTTTTTATGTTAATTACATCTCTTCTCTCCTTTTAGACAGCTAGGAAAAGCCAGATGTCACCCTCAACATTGCCCAGAAGTCTCAGCTAGATCAAGCTTTAGGTACATTTGCAATTTTCCGTGTTGCCACAGGTAACAGTTTTGCTAAACTCTGTACGACTCATACTCTAAATTTCCAACAGCTTCCAATAACGCTTCCCTCTCTCTTCCGTGATCCTTCCTTGACAGCCTCCTTGGAAGCTCTTTAGACTTCTGTTAGCACCCTCATCCAGGCATTTTAGGTTTCACTAACCATCTCCCCAAAGTCCTGCCGGGATCCCATCTGCCTCGTCCCCCAGACCCACGCCACTGGGTAGGGTTGTGTCATGGCGACACCCACGTACAGCTGCCAAGTTTCTGTATTAGTTTGATAGAAAAGTCAAATTGCTCTGAATGATAAGAGTAAGGGGTTTATGACAATGGACTCTTCAGCAAGCGTGGAGCTGGAGTGTCAGCGTGCAGGCTTCTGCCTCTGCATCTAGTGTCGGGCCTGTCCTCATAGTCAAGACAGACACAAGTAGAAACATGCAGGGCTTGGGAGGTTTAAGTCTGGAACTGGCACACCTTCATTTCTGCCCCACATTCTGCCTAATTTAAGTCATGTGGACCAACCGAAGGTCAAGAGCTAGCTAGTGTGCCCCACGGTGGGAAGGAAATGCAAAATCACAGGTCCAAAGGCATGGATATAAGGAGAGGTAAAGAGTGAGGCCGGTAATACAATCTACAAGGGGAGCAACGGTAGCTATCGCTGCCCCGAATTCCGTACAAATGAATTTGGATCTGTCTCCTATGGACATTACACCACATTGTATTATAGCTGTTTATTTGCATATCTTTTCTTCTGTGAGTGCAGGGACATCTCCTGTATGAAAATAACCCCTCTTTCTTCTGGCACATTGTCTTGCATATGGGTGGTACCGAAAAATTTTTGTCGAATTAGTGAATGAAGCCATTTCTGAGCTTCCAAATCATAAGGCCTATGGTAACAGCCCTGGTTTTCAAAACCAGGCAGGTATAAAGGGAGATTCCTTTTTTTTTTTTTTTTTTAATTTTTTTATTTTTTTTTATTTTTTTTTACAAATAGTTTATTGTCAAATTAGTTTCTACATAACACTCAGTGCTCATCCCCAAAGTGCCCTCCTCCATGCCCACCCCCCCCTCCCCCCCACATCCATCAGTCCTCAGTTTTTGTCAGCATTCAAGAGTCTCTCATGGTTTGCCTCTCAGGGAGATTCCTTTTTGATATTTGTTTCCCCACCATTATTAATTTGTCCCACCTGCCCTTCCCCCTTTTGTCACTGGCCCTTCCTACCCTCATTCCTGCCCCACCCATATCTAGAATGAGAGAATCTCTCTAATAGAGCAAACCAGTCTTCAAGGTTTGTATTTTATAATACATTCTTCAAGACAATTATTCAGTCAACAAAGATTGTTTGAGCACTTACCATGAACACTATACATTAAGAAACCAAAAGGGGCAGCTGACACAAGATGTACCTGTTGAATTACAAAATTTAAACTCAAAAGGACAGAGAGTAGCATCATGAAATCAAAAAGAACTGAGAATGTCATGAGTTACACTGAAGTTCAGAATGACCAGAGATGCGCAAGCATAAAATAGGGAGACTTGACTTTAAGATAGGTCATGTGAAAAAGCTTAGCACAGGCCAAAAAAGTGTGACACGAACTTTTGGACTCCATTAAACGTCGTCGTCGTCGTCATCGTCGTCGTAGTAGCAGTAGTAGTAGTAGTAGTAGTAATAGCTAACATCCATTGGGTGGTTACTCTGAGCCATGCACTACTGTAAGCATTTAAGTATTAGCTCATTTAAGGGGCATGCGGCTGGTTTGGTGGGTAGAGGATCCGACTCTTGATCTTGGGGTCATGAGCTTGAGCCCCACGTTGGCCATAGAGACTACTTAAAAAAAAAAAAAAACAGTAAATATTAGCTTATCTAATCCTCATGAACAACCTGTCAGGATAGTCTAAAATTTTTCCATTTTACAGATGAGAAAGCAGAGGCACAAACCAGGTACCAAGCTGACTCAGTGTCAGCAAGCAGTGGAGCCTGGATATGAGCACCGAGCGTCATGAAGAGCCACTCTTGTTATCAGTTCAAGTGCCTGAAATGAAAAGCACCGTGATCATGTTCTTTTCTGAACTGGTCAATCCAAGTCTGGGGGGTTGGTGTAAGAGAGGACAGCACAAACCAAAGGGTGTCCCAAGACCAGGCTGAGACAGGTTTGGAAACCCACTCCAATGGTTGAAGAAACTGAGAAGAACATTTGTTCCAGTATGTAAAGGCCAGTCCGTGAAAAAAAAAGAATAAGAATCCTATTTTGTAGCCACAGAGAAATTACGGTTTTAGGCTGAAAACTTAAACGAAGTCCTATACCTGACCAAGAACTTTATTGGGGCTGGAGACTCAGACACCAGTAAAAGAAGACATACTTCCTGCCCCAGAAGAGCTTCCAGTCCAGCAGGGGAGGGACGTGAACCTGGACTCCCGTAAGACCTTTCTGAACACTTTTGCAGCTGGGCTGTGTACTGCGTTGTGCTGTAGATCAACAGGTGTCCTTCCCCTGGAAGTACATAAGTGCATCCTGGAATCCCACCTCCCCAGAGAGCGGAGGGGATTCCCAGAGTGGTGGGTGGTTCAACTGGACTTCAGACCACAAACTAGTGATAAAAATATAAACTTCCAGGGAGCCTGGGTGGGTCTGTCGGTTAAGCGTCTGACTTCGGCTCAGGTCACGAACTCGTGTTTTGTGAGTTCGAGCCCCGTTTCGGGCTCTGTGCTGACAGCCCAGAGCCTGGAGCCTGCTTCGGATTCTATGTCTCCCTCTCTCTCTGCCCTCCCCTGTTTGCACTCTCTTTCTCAAAAATAAAGATTAAAAAAAAATTTTTTTTTAAAGAATACTAACTCCAGGAAGATGTAGAGTTTTGTCAGCCATGTTCACTGTTGCATTTCTAGGATTTAGGACCCTGTGTAGGCACAGACTGGGTGCTCAGGAATTGAATATATGAAAGCATGAACATATAAAAACAAGGATTCTCATAGTAAAACCTGTGTTATTTGTGGACCCACATATGTGTGTGTGTTGTGGAAGTGAAGACTCTTTAACATGCCACTAGTCCAGCTTCACTCAATTATATTATCTGTCTGGTCCTAGATTGTGCTGCCTCTGGGTTAATCACTAAAATCTCTGTAAACATTTTTTTTTTTTAATTTGAGAGAGAGTGAGAGCAGGGAAGTAGTAGAAGGAGAGGGACAGAGAATCGACATGGGGTTTGATCTCATGACCATGAGATCATGACCTGAGCCAAAATCTAGAGTCAGATGCTCAACCAACTGAGCCATGCAGGTGCCCCTGTGCAAACTTCAAAGGTCTATGAAATAAAATTCTATAGTTAAGCTCTAAAGTGGAAAAGTTTTGTCAATTACCAGATTGCATTAGTCGAATATCAAGAAAATGATCTATATGATATTTTCAAGTTATTTTTGCTTAATCAAGCATTTGATTATTACTTGTCATTCAAGATAAATTTTATTACTTTCATGATGTTAGCAGACAATAGATAAGTCATCTATTCTGACAGTAGGCGAAGAGAATATCTTTGCTTAAGTCAGAAATACTTCGTGTTTATTTTTGAGAGAGAGAGAGTGCGCGTGTGCATGCACACACACACACACACACACACACGAGCAGGTGAGGGGCAGACATGGGGGGGAGGAGAGAAAGAGAGAGAGGATCCAAAGCGGGCTCAGCCCTGACAACAGAGAGCTGGGTGTGAGGCTCAAACTCACAAACCGTGAGATCATTACCTGAGCCAAAGTCAATGCTCTACTGACTGAGCCACCCAGGCGCCCCTTAAGTAAGAATTTTTAAAATACATAAGCATTACATACAGTACCTCTTTTTTTAATCTGTTTTTATCATGAAGGGAATGCTTTCATAAGGTTATGACCAGCTTGGTGAAGAGGGTTGGTAATTTCTTTTTAAAAAAAAATTTTTTTTTACATTTTTTTTTTAAATGTTTTATTTATTTCTAGGAGAGAGAGACAGCATGAGCAGGGGAGGGTCAGAGAGAGAGGGAGTCACAGACTGAGACAGGCTCCAGGCTCTGAGCTGGCAGTCAGCACAGAGCCCGACGCGGGGCTCGAACCCACGAACCGCGAGATCATGACCTAAGCGAAAGTCGGACGCTTAACCGACTAAGCCACCCAGGCGCCCCTACATTTATTTATTTNGGACGCTTAACCGACTAAGCCACCCAGGCGCCCCTACATTTATTTATTTTTTGAGAGACAGAGTGAGACAGAGCATGAGCGGGGAAGGGGCAGAGAGAGAAAGAGACACAGAATCCTATGCAGGCTCCAGGATCCAGGCTCTGAGCAAGCTGTCAGCACAGAGCCCGAAGCAGGGCTTGAACCCACGAACTGTGAGATCATGACCTGAGCCAAAGTCAGATGCTTAACAGACTGAGCCACCCAGGTGCCCCAAGTGTTGGTAATTTCTGAATGCCAAAAGACAAATTCCATTTTTTGACACATCTTCCTGCAAGAAACAAACGTTCTCCCCTCAGATATGCAATAGATAAAGCTGCAAAATATTTGAGATTTCTTGTATGAACTTCAGTTTTTTCTTTATTGATTTCCATGAAAGGAAAGATCACTGTTTCAACGCTTAGGAAAAGCAGAGTCCAGACAATAAATCCAATTTAATTTGGAGAAATATGAAGACGTCAGGTGTAAAAACAATGGGGCTTTTCAACAACGATAGATTCATCTTTTCCCAGGACCCTAAGACTGATTTCAACACTGATTTGCTGTGCTTAGCCATCTGAAGATGTTCTGATCCTTAGGAAATCATTTTCTGGCTTGCAGGAAATAAATGTGCCTAAGTTTGAATTTCTGCCAATCCCCGAGAGAACAGACTCACCAACTGCTGGTTGTCAGAGTCAAGAGTTCAACTGCGTCCACGAAGCTCGGATTATTGGCTTTGTGTTCTCATTTACAGAAATAGAACTTTCTCAATTGAAAGACCAGGATATGTAATACAAAGGAGATGAAGTCAAAACCACTCCATTTCAGGTGAGCCTGGGTGGCTCAGTTGGTTAAGCATCCAATTGTTGATTTCAGCTCAGGTCGTGATCTCACGGTTCGTGGAATCAAAGCCCCACATCAGGCTCTGTGCTGAGAGTGTGGAGCCTGCTTGGGATTCTCGGTCTCTCCTCTCTTTTCTTCTCTCTCTCTGCCCCTCCTACGCTTGTGCGCTCTCTCTCTCTCTCAAAAATAAATGAAAAAATTTTAAGAAAACACCTCCACTTCATACACTTAATATTCATGTAAAAATAAAATCTCCGAAATATTTTTGATATTTAAAATAAGATATTTCAGATCAATTATTAGCTTGTGATGAGATTTTCCTTCTTATACATGGTTTCAAGATGTATTGAGTTAAATATAAACACGTACACATACGCACATGTGCATGCACGCACACACACACAAACCAGTATATACATGGCGACACACACATAAAGCATTTTCCTGAGAAAATGCAACAATGCAAACTAAATGTGTATGATGGTCTTGACAATATAAAATGCGAGGTCTCCAGGGGAAGAGGTTGGCTGGCTGGTTGGTTGGTCAGTGTTTTCATGCAGAAAACCTGCCAGGAGAATCGGAATCCAACTCTTCGAGTTGGACTGGCTGCCTCTGAGCTCCTAATAGCCCTAAAAGTTGATCATTCCATGAATTAACTCTTCCAGTGACTGTTCCCATAAACAAACTATTCCTTGGGAGAAGGCGAGGCAGTGTGGAAAGGCATGTTTATTCTTTCAGGCTACCAGCAGTATATAAAAGAACCCAGTTCTTTAGTGCCGACCATGAGCATTCACCCATTAGCTACACAAGCACCCTAAACACGATGGGCTCACCATGCCATTGAGGCATAAAGTCACCTACATCACCGAAAGGACAGTGGATTCAAATTCTGAATCTTTCAAGGGAAATAGTTTTTATTAGCTTAAAAGTCTTGGTTCCTTCATTTTAGAAAGCACTTCTCAAACTTCTAAGACAATCTTTCGTGCCCTGTGGTTCCACCTCTATACACACTGGTTTTCTTTGAGGCCTGGCTTCCCACGTTCCTGAATATTCATTCCCATCCTGTATCAGAACCCTGAACAAAATCAGAGTGAAAGAATGGATGGGGCCGAATCAGAGAAGACTTGAAGTTCTTTTACTTAGCTGTAAGCAAGTTAAGGGGGAGCAACATAATTTCTTTTTGGGTGTGTGAATGCCCCTGACAAGTTCTCAAATAGCAGACAAACATACACCGCTCACGTCAGTTGAGTGTCAAAGAATGTGAGAAGCACAATGTGTCTGGTCCACTATACGTGTATTATTTTAAAGTACACTTGAAATTCTAAATGTGTACAAATTCAGAGAGAGGTTTCAGAAACTTCAAAAGCCATAGGTACAAGTTTAAGACGCTGAAGGCTGCGAACTTCCTTTCTCATTTAATCCGTGCTTGATCTTGCATTCCTCACAGGTAAGCAGGCAGTGCCTAGAATGGAAGCAAAAACGGACGTTTGTGCTTTGTCACTGGTTGATCTAGTCTTGACACAATGTTAAACAGAGGCATCTTCCTTTAAAAAAAAATTTTTTTTTAATTTATTTTGAGAAAGAGAGAGTATGCACACAAGCAGGGCAGAGAAAGAGAGAATCTTAACGGGCTTCGTGCTCAGCACGGAGCCTGATGTGGGGCTCAATCCTATGACCCTGGGATCATGAGCTGAGCCAAAATTAAGAGTTGGGCACTTAACTGACTGAGCCACCCAGGCGCCCCTCACAAGCCTAATTTTTAAAGGAAAAACAGAGCTGTTTCTTGGTTTGAGACTCCCCCAAAACCCTATCTCCCCAAAAAAGGTCAATAATGATCTTTTTTTAAAATTTTTTAATGTTTTATTTATTTCTAGGAGAGAGGGATAGACAGCGTGAGCAGGGTTGGGTCAGAGAGAGAGGGAGTCACAGACTGAAACAGGCTCCAGGCTTGAGCTGGCAGTCAGCACAGAGCCCGACGCGGGGCTCGAACCCATGAACCACGAGATCATGACCTAAGCGAAAGTCGGACGCTTAACCGACTAAGCCACCCAATAATGATCTTCACGTCTGATATTTTCACAGGTTTCATGCTGCCTCTCAAATAGAACCCACTGTGACAAGCAAAAGGTCTTCAGAGAAATGTGTTCCCAACACCCAACTACCAATATTATCACAGAAATAAGTACTATTTGCTGGGCACTCACTGTCATAAATAGCCATTTCTATCCTTTATAACATGCCATGAAAACAATTCTGATCACCATTTTCTACAGAGGAGAAACAGAAAATTAGAGAGTATCAAACACTTATCCAAGGTTACACAGCCTTGTAAGTAGTAAAACTGGTTTTCACCCGGATACTCTAACCACCCAGGGAATGTCCCTAACTCCAGAGTCCTGTGGCTGACACCTCTGAATGAGAATCCCAAGACACAACAACCTAGAAGTGTACTGAGAAGTCCTGCAGAAAAGACGCCTGTTCAAATTCTGTGACCTCGTGATGGTAGAAGCCGTGCCTGCTGATGGAGGCATTCTTTAGAGGCCTGCATGGCGCCATGAACATAGTAAGTGCTCACTCGATGTGGAGCAAATGAAATAGGTAATTATTACCAAAGCTGAATAGCAACAGCTCAAAAACTGAGAGTTAAAGAGAGTTCTTTTCCCTGGGGTGCCTGGGTGGCTCGGTTGGTTGGGCGTCTGACTTTGGCTCAGGTCATGATCTCACCACTTGTGGGTTCAAGCCCCGTGTTGGGCTCTGTGCTGACAGCTCAGAGCCTAGAGCCTGCTTCGGATTCTGTGTCTCCCTCTCTCTCTGCCCCTCCTTTACTCGCACTCTTTCTCTCTCAAAAATGAATAAATGTTAAAAAATTAAAAAATTTTTATTATTTTATTTTATATTTTATTTATATTTATTTTATTATTATATTATTATTAAGAAATGGGGGTTCCCAACATATGGATGTAAAAAATTGTTTAATATTGTAAGTGGTGAAAAGGACTTATTTAACTTTTTATAATTATTTTCATTACAATCCCTCAGTCAAAGGGGCGCCTAGGTGGCTCCGTTGGTTGGGCATCTGACTCTTGATTTTGGCTCAGGTCGTGATGCCACAGTCATGGGATCAAGCCTCGCATTGGGCTCCATACTAAGCACGGAGCCTGCTTGAGATTCTCTCTCACTGACTGCCCTCTCCTCTGCTTGCAGGCTCTCTCTCTCTCTCTCCAATAAAAATAATAAGTAAGTCACTAAGTAAACCAATCAATCAATCAATCAATCAATAAAAAGAATCCCTCAGTCAAAAAGATTACAAACCTGTTGCAACACCATGGATGAAGCTAGAGGGTATAAGGCTAAGTGAAATAAGTCAGAGAAAGACAAATACATGATTTCACTCATATGTGGAGTTTTAGAAACAAAACAAGTGAGCAAAGGGGAACAAAGAGAGAGAGAGACAAACCAAGAAACAGACTCTTAACTATAGAGAACGAACCATTGGTTACCAGAGGGGAGCTGTCGGGGGAGGAGTGAAACAGGTGAAGGGGATTAAGAGAACATTTAACATGATGAGCACTCAGTAATGTATGGACCTGTTGAATCACTATATTGAACCCCTGAAACTAATATAGCACTGTATGTTAATTACTCTGGAATTAAAGTTTAAGAACTTAATAGAAATTTTTAAAAAGTTACAAACCTGTTATGCCCTGGACCAAAACCAGCACCACGTAGCTGATCTTCAAAGGAATGGAATTTACTCTGGCATACTCGTATGTATGATGCCTTTCCAAGGGCAAATCCCAAGATACCCGCAACTGTAAAAGCAGGTGAGGAAAGATAATTTAAAAGCTCAGTGTCACCTCTATTAGTTATCTTCTAGAACTTTCTACATTAACAGTAGTAATTCTTATATGAAAAGTACCATCATAAATCAACGAACAAAGCCTCTGAGAATGAATCTCCCTATTAAAGAGCAGGATCAGGAAATGGAGGCTTTCTGCTCTCCTCAGTTTTGAGCTGGTGGTAGAGGGGCCAGGATAGGGCCGGCGAAGGTGTTGTCTCAGAGGCAGGCAGCCCGTGGGAGGCCCAGGGGGCAAACAAATGTCTGAGGCCTCCAGGGTGGGAAGGGGTGGGCTCTGGGTTGTGCCTATAGGTGGCTTCCAAATCACTGTGCAGGAAAGACCCTTAATTCTCTTTATGGGTTACTGCAATCCATCTTGCCTGCAGGGAAGAGAGCCCCAGAAGCAGAGGGAATCTCTGGGAGAAATATCCAACCTGCTCTTCCTGCTGGGAATGAGATTTCAGACTGTAAACAGGAATGCATCCTCTCTACATAATGGGTCTAGGTAGGAGTGGAAGAAGATGCAACCCCAGGGTTGTGGTAAATGTATTATTAGAAAGTCTGATTTTTAAAAATTATTCATTTGGTAGGTCCATTATAGAAAATATCTTGGGGGCACCTGGGTGGCTCAGTCATGATCTCGCGGTTCCTGAGTTTGAGCCCCGCATCGGGCTCTGTCCTGATGGCTCAGAGCCTGGAGCCTGCTTCGGATTCTGTATCTCCCTCTCTCTCTGACCTTCCCCCACTCGTGCTGTTTCTCTCTACCAAAAATAAATCAACATTAAAAAACTAAAAAAAAAAAGAAAAGAAAAGAAAAAGAAAACATTTTGAAAAAACTAGCCAAAAGAAGAAAATTACAGGCCCTAATGGCTCTGTCATTCAGACGCTCTGCTTGCTCGCATCTTGTATGCCCTGCTAATGTCTCTTAGTGCAGACTTTAAAGAGGCTGTCTAAGGTGGAGTCCCTGCTGCTCAGCCTTATATCAGGAAGTGCTGAATGAACAAAGAACTTCACAGTGACAAAAAACAGACCGATTTTTCAGAGAGTCAACGCGGGTAGTTTGTTGACCTGACATTCGTATCTCCAGTTGCTATAAACATCTTCTTCTAAAAAATTAATCTTTTTAGGGATTGTTTGCTTTTTTTAACTTTTATAACTTACGTGCAACTTTGGGCAATGATCCAAATCTTGGATTAGATGCTAAATAACCTAAGAAGTAATAAATAAATTCATTATTATTACATGTTATAACCTATTTAAATTTATAAAATATAAATAAACCGTTAAAGTAAACCCTGATATACACCGATTCTTAATCTAAAGAGGTTATTTTTAAAGAGTTATAAGTCAATTCTTAATTAATTAACTCTCAAATACTCATCTTTAGCAAGTAGCAAGTATTAGTGACTTTAATGTATAGAAAAAGAACATGAAACAGACCATTTAAGACTAAATTAAATATACCAAGGTGGGGATGGGGGGCAGGGGAGCGGGGCACCTGGATAGCACAGTCCATAGAGAATGTGACTCTAGATCTCGAGGTTCTAAGTTCAACTCGCACAATGGGTGTAGAGATTACTTAAAAAATAAAATCTTAAAGAAAAAGATAATGCATAGAGGGGACTAACAACTTAGTTCCAAGCAATTAAGTATTGTCCCCTCACTTTTTTAAAGTAACTCAACACGAAGTCTCAGTTTAGAGATTCACAGTATATATATATATATCAAAATCTTTAAATGAAAACATTAAAACCTGTGGTAGGCAGAGTAATGGTCTCCTAAAGATGTCCACATCCCAATTCTTGGAAAAACTATGAAGAAAATGGAATTAAGGTTGCTAATCAGATAATTTTAAAATAGGAAGATTATCCTGGATTATCTGGGTGAGCCCAATGGAATCAAGATGTAATCATCTTGAGGGGCGCCTGGGTGGCTCAGTGGGTTAAGTGCTGACTTTGGCTCAGGTCATGATTTCGTGTTTTGTGAGTTCAAGCCCCGCATCAGGCTCTATGGTGACAGCTCAGAGTCTGGAGCCTGCTTCAAATTCTGTGTCTCCCTCTCTCTCTGCCCCTCCCCCGCTTGTGCTTGACTCTCTCAAAAATTAAATAAACATTAAAAAAAACTTTTTTTAAAGATGTAATCATCCTGAATATGGAAGAGGGATTCAGAGATAGAACTGTGGCAATATGAGAAGATCTTGCCTCAGTGTTGCTGGCTTTGCAGACAGAGGAAGGGGGCATGAGCCAGGAAATGTGGCTGGTTTCCAGAAGCTGGAAAGGGAAAGGAAGCCCCATACCTACCCTCACCCAGGCTGCAGAAGGAATGCTGCATGGCCAACACTTTGATTTCAGCCCAGTGAGACCCATTTTGGACCTCTGACCTCCCAAACTGTGAGATAATCAATTTGTATTGATTTTGTGGTAATTTATTACAGCAGCCACGGAAAACTAATATGCAAACCTGGAAAGGTATATTAATACACATGCAGACAACTGTAGATTTTAAGCAGTTTAATATTTATAAAACATAACCCTTACAGATGTCATGATATTTTTTTGTTGTCAGAAGTGATCCGATGGAGGCTTGTTACTGACTGACGAGTATATTTCTTTTTTTTTTTTTTTTTAATTTTTCTAATGTTTATTTATTTTTGAGAAAGACTGAGTGAGGGAGGGACAGAGAGAGAGGGAGACATAGAATCTGAAGCAGGCTTCAGGCTCTGGGCTGTCAGCACAGAGCCCGACATGGGGCTCGAACTCACAAATCACGAGTTCCTGAACTGAGCTGAAGTCAAAGGCCTTACCAACTGAGCCACCCAGGCACCCCTGATTGATGAATATATTTCTATAAAAAAGCTACCTTGAAGTTATAAAAATGAGATTGAAGTTATATTTAATAAATAGCCTTTAAAGACAAGAATAATATTAAGTGAAATGGGATTCTCCTAGATATATGACATGTGGTCTCTGACACCCCAAAAGGAACTAGAACATTTTGACTCATAAACATGAGTACATGTTTATGTACTGGGTACAAATATTCTTTTTAAAATCCTGGTAATTGGGGCGCCTGGGTGGCTCAGTCGGTTAAGCGTCCAACTTGATCTCAGCTCTGGTCTTAACCTCAAGCTTATGAGTTCAAGCCCCGCATTGGGTTCAATGCTGGGCACGGAGTTTACTCAAAAAAAAAAAAAAAAAGTCCTGGTAATCAGCAGTGTTTAGTACAGGGGGCTGCAACAAGGTCAGCTGCCTTCTTGTTATCTGGGAACCAAGCAATGTCTATGGAGGCTCTGGTGAGATGGAGAGGAGAAAGAAGAGAGCCAGAAAGGCAAAGTGGAGAACTAAGAGGCTGGAAGAGATCATGTGGGAAGGTGCCGGACGGCCGCTAGTTCTCTTGATCTGTTGCTCAGATTAGACAGGGTCCCTTCCTTAGGCAGATGTAGCCTCTTGTATGCAGCCTCTTGCCGTGAGAAATGGGCAGAGTTCGGGTGGATTTCAGTGAGACTCATCTCCTTGGAGCGCAGCTGTGCAGGAAACCATCTGTCTAACTATGCTTGGAGCCCCTGGGAGACACAGGGACTCTGGCACAGAGAAAGGCCCTGCATTAGTGTTCTGTGGCTGCCGTAACAACTCACCACAAACTTAGTGGGTTAAAGCAACACAAATTTGTTATCTTGCCGTTCTGGAGCTCAGAGGCTCAAAATGGTCTCCGTGGTTGACTCAGACCACTTGGGTGGCTACACCAAAATGGCAGACTGGGTGGCTTATCGACAACAGAAATTTATTTCTCACAGTTCTGGAGGCTGAAGTCCAAGATCAGGTGCCAGCATGGTTGGGTGAGGGCCCTGTTTGGGGCTGCAGACTTCCTGTTGCATCATTATGTGACGCAAGGGCCTGGGGAGCTCTTCACAACCCCTAAGGGCACTAATCCCTTCAACATGGCTCCACCCCCTTCAAGGGCCCCACCTCCTAATATCATCACTTTCGGCTTTAGGAGTTCAGCATGTGAATTTTGGAGACACAAATATTGAGACCATAGCACTGGGCTAAAATCAAGAGATCAGCAGAGCCGCATTCCTTTCTGGAAGTTCTAGAGTTTCTCACATTTCCAGCTTCCAGGGGCCAGCCACATCCCTAGACTCCCGGGCCCCTCCCCCATCTTCACAGCCAGCAATATTGAACTGAGTCCGTCTCTGTCTGTCTTTCTTTTTTAGATTTTTTAATGTTTTTTTTTTTAATTTATTTCTAGGAGAGAGAGACAGCGTGAGCAGGGGAGGGTCAGAGAGAGAGGGAGTCACAGACTCTGAAACAGACTCCAGGCTCTGAGCCGGCAGTCAGCACAGAGCCCGACGCGGGGCTCGAACCCACGAACCGCGAGATCATGACCTAAGCGAAAGTCGGACGCTTAACCGACTGAGCCACCCAGGCGCCCCTTTTTTAGATTTTTTAATGTTTTATTTATTTCTGAGAGAGAGGGAGACAGCAAGAGCAGGGGAGGGGCAGAGTGAGAAGGAGACACAGAATCTGAAGCAGGCTCCAGGCTCTGAGCTAGCTGTCAGCACAGAGCTGACGGAGGGATCGAACCCACGAACCGTGAGATCATGACCTGAACCAAAGTTGGACGCTTAACCAACTGAGCCACCCAGGGGCCCCAGAACTGAGTCTTTCTGGCGCTGCCATCTCCCTGGTTCCGTCTTCGGATCCACTCTTGCATTTTTAATGACCCTCTGATTACAGAGGCACCTAATGAACAGTCTTAATTCATCTGCAACTTTAATATCCCTTTGACCCATAACTTAAGACAGCCACTTCTTCTGGAACTTAGGACATCTCTGGGAGAGGGGGGACTTAGGCTGCAAATAAGCAAAAACCCGCATAAATAAATCATCCACCAAAAGACAAATGCCAAGTGCCAAAATGCTGCCAGGAGGGTCACTGAAAACTGGTCTCTTAAGTTGAACAGTAACAGACCCCGAATCTTACCATGGTGGACTAGTCCTTGGGTGGCGAGCATGCTCACAAGAGAAAAAGGCAGAGCTGCAAAAGAAAGATGCCCTTTAATATCACTCTTTTAAAACTTGGCACTTCACCCAGAAGCCAGGGGAAATTAGTCTGTGTTTTCTTCTCTTATCTGTCCTGGCAACGGGATGTTAGTCATTTGTTATTTTACTTATTCAACAAATATTTATTAAGCACTGCAGGAAGAATTTTCTTGAGATCTGCCCCAGTCACTCAGCCGGATATACAGTATTAACATGACAAAACCGCTCTCCTCCATCTCTGAACATCCGCTTTTACGGAACGCACACCACGCACCAGATTCTGAGCACTAAATACAACAAAAGCATCTTAGTGCGAGTGCACAGAGCCGCTGAATCTGGGAGTTGCCCTGAGCTGTCTTCTGAACATTTCAATCCTATAGAAAAGCTAAAAAAACAATACCATAAACTCCTGCATACCTGATCTAGGACCGCTGCTAGCTTTTGTCTCGAATGATATTTTGCTGCACAATTTGGATATGTCTATTTTCTGAAGATGATGAGATTATCATATTCATGTTAAACAAGGGCGGTGTTGAGCTATGATTTTTAAAACAGGCAAGTTCGTCTGGCAAAGGCAGTTTCTAGGTCTATCAAAACGCAACACTTCTTCCAAGAGCAGAGAGCACTGATCGACATCTAGCTCTTCCTAGCAACCAAGAAAAATGAATGGCAACCAGTTTTTCCACTAATATCTACCTGAGGGTAGACAAATGGGTCATACTGAAATGTTAATCTACTACTACTTACTTAAATTACTTACCCATAGGTTGTAAAAAAAAAAACAACTCGTGAATTTCTGGAAGCATGATCAATAATCATAATAATGTATAATAAATATCAAGTTCTAAAGTGTTGCTTCCAAAACAATTGATATTGAACTTGAATGATTTGAGAAATGAAAAATGTATATTTCAAAGTATAAGTTATCCCAATGCTGCAAAACCTTGGGACTATATCTATGGGCTCTATTATGACATTTTCAAATGACAAATCATGAATTTTTTAAATTGGAAGAGGCTTTAACGCACAGCGTGAATTCACACCCTCGGCTTATATAAGGCAGGCCCAGCAAGAGGAAGTGAATCAGCAGAAAAGGTTATTTCAGAGACATTGTAAGAGAACTATTATGAATGGAATGTTGCTGCTTTTTACTTGTATCACAAAAATTTAAATATTTATTCATTTTTTTGGAGAGTCATTCCACAAATACTTAACAGGCAAGTTCTATATGTGAAGCACTGTGCTAGGCTCTGGGATGAAGCGATGAACCTGACCTTATCTCTGAACTCAATGAAAGTTGGAGTCTAGTGAAATTTAAGAAGGTCAAATCTTTCAAGAAATCCTAAATAACACTCTTGGTATACGTCCTTGGTCACACAGAGGAAAGTGCGTGTGTGTGTCACTTCCTGCTGAGTGAGGGAAGGTACTCCTACATCCGATATAACCTCTGCACGTAAAAGGGCCTTGATATGGATTTAGACTCGAAATAGCCCCCAATATTTAAAGTTCTTCAGGGAATTATGCAGTCTCTGCTCAAAGTGAATCATTACCATCATTCTACTGTGATACATGGGCAGTTTATTGCAGCAAACATAGAGCTAACAAAGATTAAGAGTTCAATTACCTCTCTTCCAGAAGCTTTCTTCTTGACATTCTCGGATAATCTTTGAAATCTCCCCTCTGTGGATGTGCAGTTTTGATTTTGGACAAAATAATAGACTCTGCAAGGAAAGTTACGTGATGAGTTGACTGAAATCATTAGAAAAGCATCTGCTGTTTTCTCTAGACGAGGGCAATGAAGTCTCTTCACTCAGGTCACACAGCATGTGTCTTGTGTGGCTGCCAGCAGAGTAATGGCCAGTCCCAGCCAATGCCTTCCAACTGGGAGCGCTGGGTGGATTTAGGCAAGGGAAGAATCCCAGCTGGAGAAGCAGAGTGACTCGACTCGCGAGCATGGGGCAGGCACCTGGTCACAACGAATCACTGCTGAGGCCGCATTTTCTTTCTGACCCCCAGTTTCTGTCCGTGCGTCTTGTTCACCCTGCAATGCTCCTCACTCCCTTTGCCTGCCTGGGGTCCTTAAGCCCAGTTCAGTGTTGCCTCCTGGGTGGAGAAGAGATTTCCCCTAAAGCACAATGTTTACATCTTTGGGATCCCTTTCAGAGCAGTGCATTGTAAGTTAACTATTTACAGATCTGTGTTCCAATTCATCTATTTATACTTTGGCATGCATTTTTAGGCTAAGAACTCGCCAACAGACAGCTTTTTATTTGTCAACATACCCTTCTTTCTATCTTAACAGGTTTCCTTTTTTACATATTTACAAGTGGTCTGCACATAATTTCTGACGCGACTACCTTACATGGTTGAAACGATCATTTTTACTAGATCTACAGGATTCTTTTTATCATGTTGATATACTATCATCTGGACTAACTTCCATCATATATCACCCTTCGCCTTTTGCGGGCATATATTATTCACTCACTCTTACTTCCATTCTCTATTCTCATATTCTTCTCTGCCTATCACTGCTATTCTGGGGAGTTAAATGCAGATCATCTGCTAGTATGCATTGCTGCAAATGTTCATTGTTACCTGTGCATGCATCTTTTTATGCAAATGGCATTGTTTTATATATTTAATTTCACTTTTTTAAAAGGGGAAACCCCCTTTTTAACGTTTATTTACTTCTGAGAGACAGAGACAGAGCATGAGTGGGGGAGAGGCAGAGAGAGAGGGAGACACAGAATCTGAAGCAGGCTCCAAGCTCTGAACTGTCAGCACAGAGCCTGACGTGGGGCTTGAACTCGTGAACCACGAGATCATGATCTGAGCTGAAGTCCGATGCTTAACGGACTGAGCCACCCAGGCGCCCCTATTTAATTTTACTTTAAAATGCTAAAGTTTTAAAAAATGTTTATTATTTATTTTTGAGAGAAAGTGCAAGCTGGGGAGGGGCAGAAAGCTAGGGAGACACAGAATCTGAAGCAGGCTCCAGGCTCTGAGCTGTCAGTACAGAGTTGGGCGCAGGGCTCAAACCGGCGAACCATGCGATCATGACCCGAGCCAAGGTTGGATGCTTAACCGACTGAGCCACCCAGGGGCCCCTTAAAATGTTTTCAACTCAGCTCGATGCTTTTAAGTTCCATCTGTGTTCCCTACACACCTAGTGCACTGTTCTAACTGCTGGCCAGTTCTCCAGGATGTCTCCCAAGTTCTCACCACCGCATGTCTCCTTAACATCCCCTGTGAGACTATTTTTCAGATACATCCCTAGAAGTAAATGTAAGTCATGTGTATTCCTGGTTTGACAAAGTTTCACTAGAGTCCTCTCCCCAACGGCTGCATCGAATCCACTCACAGCAGCAGGGCCTGAACATTCCTCTATGTCTCAGAGCCTGCCTAGGAGCCAGTTAAGCCAGATTCTCAACAGGTTGAAGAACAGAGCTTGGAACATTTGGCATTATTCAGTGTTCTAAATGTTGACAGTCTAACAGGTATAAATGTAATGTTTTATTCTTATCTGCATTTCTCTGATAACTAATATGTTTGAGAATCTACATATTCTTCAGCCCCAGTGCCCTTCTCGAGTGTTGGGGCAATCCCTCAACTAATTTGGGTTGTGCCCTTTTGGTATACAGTGGCTCAGTGCTTTTGATTGTGGTAACTTGCCCAGGACATCGTGCTTCCCATTTCAACCATTTTAAAGTATACAATCCATGGCACTAAGTACATCCACAACGTTGGGCAGCCACAACTACCAGGAAAAAAAAGTTCCAGAACTTTTCATCACCCCAAAAGGAAATTCCATACTCATTAAGGACCCTCTCCTCATTCCTTGCTCCCCCCAACCCTTAGCTCCCTGGTGATCGCTAATCTGCTTTCTGGCTGTATGAATTGGCCTATTTGGGGTATTTTATGTAAGCGGTATGATACAATATGGTTTTTTTCTGGCTCTCTTTTCTCCTTTTGCATGATATTGTCATGGTTCACCAATGTTGCAGCATTGCGATGTGTCAGGAATTCATTTCTTTTTGTGGCTCAATAACATTCCATTGTATGGATATGCCACATTTTGTTTATCCAGTCATCTTCGATGGATATTTGGGTCATTTCTACCTTTTAGCTATTGTCAATAGAGCTGCTATGAACATGGATGCACAGGTTTTTGTTTGAACACCGGTTTTCCATTCTTCTGAGCCATATGGTTAAGTTGATGTTTAATTTATTGATAACTGCTGAACATTTCCACAGCACCTGCACCATTTACAGTCCTACCAACAAAGTATGAGAGTCCCATCTTTCTACATCCTTGTCAACACTTCTCATTTTCTTTTGTTTCTGTTCTTTTCAAATTAGCACATTAAAATTCTCAATATAAATAATTTCACTAATTTAAGCTAAATAAACTAAATTGTTTCTGTTTTTAATTATGGTCATGTTAGTGGCTGTGAATGGTATCTCTCTGTGGTTTTGATTTGCATTTCCCTGATGACCAATGACATTTGCCATCTAGTCATTTGCTTGGTGGCCATTCATATATATATTCCTTGGAAAAATACCTATTTAAATCCTTTGCCCATTTTTAAAAATTGGGTCGTTTTTCTCTTTGTCATTGAGCTGTAAAAGCTCTCTGCATATTGTGGATAATAGACCTTTACCAAATATGTGTTTGAAAATAATTTTTTCCATCCTCTGGGTGGTTCATTCATTTGAAACATTTTTTAAATGTTTATTTGTTTTTGAGAGAGAAAGAGAGAGAGAGAGAGAGTGAGAGTCAGCGGGGGAAGGGCAGAGAGAGAGGGAGACACAGAATCTGAAGCAGGCTCCAGGCTCTGAGCTGTCAGTACAGAGCCCTACGCAGGGCTCGAATTCACAAACCGTGAAATCGTGACCTGAGCCAAAGTCAGATGCTTAACGGACTGAGCCACCCAGGGGCCCCTCATTCAGTTTTTAAAAACAGATTTTAGGGGCGCCTGGGTGGCTTAGTCGGTTAAGCGTCCGACTTTCGCTTAGGTCATGATCTCGCGGTTCGTGGGTTCGAGTCCCGCGTCGGGCTCTGTGCTGACTGCTGGCTCAGAGCCTGGAGCCTATTTCAGAGTCTGTATCTCCCTCTCTCTCTGACCCTCCCCTGCTCATGCTGTCTCTCTCTCTCTCTCCTAGAAATAAATAAAAATATAAAAAATTAAAAATAAAAAAATAAAAACAGATTTTATTTAATTTGTTCCTTACTATATTAGTCACACTTGTATTTCCTTGTCTGTGAATTATTTATGTAGGACCTCTGCCATTTACCTCTTGGCTCTTTCATGTTTTTCTTAAGGTGCTGCTCTTTCACTTTTGAGTTTTGCCTTGCTGATTTTGCCAATACTCTTTTTTAGACTCTTTGTAGTAGATGACAATGCGGATGACGGTCACCATTTCTTGAGTACTCTTCCAAGGGCCAGGCGCTGTGCCAAGCACTTTACATGCGTGACGGCAAGGTGGAAAGACCCCGTCGCCCCTATGCCTTCAGAGTTCTAGAAACAACTCAAGCAGGCAACCTCTGTCTTGCTTCTCTACAAGTCCCCACAGCACAGCACCAGTGGCCAGGGTGAGTGAATCACAGGGTGAGAGAGGGGTCTCTTCTCACCCTCCACCTACCTCAGTTCCTCAGCCAGCACTCCTCATCGCAATGTAAACATCTCCTCTTGGTTCTGCCTATAGCTGCCTCAGAGGTGGCCCCCCCCCCCTCCTC